ACTATACATTTTTGCCTCTCTGGGATATATTCCCAGGAGTGGTATTGCTGGGTCAAATGGGAGCTCAATTTCTAATTTTTTGAGAAACGTCCATACTGTTTTCCAAAAGGGCTGAACCAGTCGACATTCCCACCAGCAGTGAAGGCATGTCCCTTTCTCGCCACATCCGTGCCAGCATTGGTTGCTTTTGTTCTTTTGAATGTGGGCCAGTCTCAGAGGTGTGACATGGTATCTCATTGTGGTTTTGATCTGCATCTCCCTGATGATTAATGATTTGAACATTTTCTCATGTGCTTTTTTGCCATTCTGATTTCTTCTTTGAGAAAGTTTCTGTTCATTTCATTGCCCCATTTTTTGATGGGGTTGGATGTTTTCTTTTTGTGGAGTTCAACCAGTACTTTGTATATCCTGGATATCAACCCCTTGTCAGATGTGTATTCGGCGAATATCCTTTCCCATTCTGTAGACTGTCTTTGTATTTTGGTCACTGTTTCCTTGGAGGTGCAGAAGCTTCTTAGTTTAAGATAGTCCCATTTATCTATCTCTGTTTTCACTTGCTCGGCCAGTGTCGTGGCATCTTTGAAAATACCAGTAGCCTCAATGTCATGGAGGGTTTTGCCAACTTTGTCTTCAATGTACCTTGTGGTTTCTGGTCTGATGTTGAGGTTTTTAATCCATTTTGATCTTACTTTGGTACATGGTGTTAGGCAGAGTTCTGAGCCCAATTTTTTGCATGTAGCCGTGCAGTGATGCTGACTTTCCTTACTCCACTTCACATTTCTTGCACCTTTATCAAAGATTAGATGATCATATGATTGAGGGGAGATATCAGCATATTCAACCCTGTTCCATTGGTCTGCTGTTCTGCCTTTGTTCCAGTACCATGCTGTTTTGATTATTTCTGATTTGTAGTAAAGTTTGAAGTTAGGGAGGTTGATTCCTCCCATTTTCTTTTTCCTAAGAATTGCTTTAGCTATTCGTGGGGGCTTATTGTTCCATGTAAATTTCAGGAGTGTTTGCTCCATTTCTTTGAAGAATGTCATGGGTATCCTTACAGGGATTGCATTGAATTTATACAATGCTTTCGGTAGTATTGCCATTTTGACAATGTTAAGTCTCCCGACCCATGAGCAGGGGATATCTTTCCATTTCCTCATGTCCTCTTTTATTTCCTGAAGTAGCGTTTTGTAGTTTTCTTTGTACAGTTCCTTTACTTCCTTAGTTAAACTGATTCCTAAGTACTCGATTTTCTGGGGCACAATTGTGAACGGGATTGTTTTTTTCATGTAGCTTTCCTCTCTCTCACTGTTGGCGTATAGGAAAGCCATGAACTTTTGGGTATTGATTTTATAGCCTGCAACCTTACTATACAAGTGTATTGTTTCTAAGAGTTTTTTGGTGGAGGTTATTGGGTTCTCTAAGTATAGTATCATATCATCTGCGAATAGTGAGCGTTTGATTTTTTCCTTTCCTACCTGAATGCCCTTAATATATTTTTCTTGCCTAATCGCTATTGCAAGTACTGGAAGTACTATATTGAACAGTAGTGGAGAGAGTGGGCATCCTTGTCTCGTCCCTGATCTTAGAGGGAAGGCTCTCAGTTTTTCCCCATTGAGGATGATGCTTGCTGCAGCCTTGTGGTAGATGGCTTTAACTATGTTGAGGAAAGTCCCCTGTATACCCATTTTGGCTAGGGTTTTCATCACAAAGGGGTGCTGGATCTTGTCAAATGCTTTCTCTGCATCTATTGATATGATCATACGCTTTTTATCTTTTCTTTTGTTGATATGATGGATTATGTTGATTGATTTCCGAATGGTAAACCATCCTTGCATCCCTGGGATGAATCCTACTTGGTCATGGTGTATGATCTTTTTGATGAGTAGTTGGATTCTATTTGCTTGTAGTTTGTTGAGGATCTTTGCATCTGTGTTCATCAGGGATATCGGCCTGTAATTCTCTTTCTTTGTGGTATCTCTGTCTGCTTTTGATATCAGTATGATATTTGCTTCATAGAAACTGTTTGGAATAAAATTGATATTTCAATTTCTTGGAAAACCTTAAAGAGGATTGGGAGTAAGTCCTCTTTAAACGTTTGAAAGAATTCACTAGTGAATCCATCCGGACCAGTACTTTTGTGCTTGAGGAGACTTTTTATTACCATTTCAATTTCCTTGGTGGTGATAGGTCTGTTCAGGTATTCCAGGTCTTCTTGGTTCAGCCTTGGAGTCTATAGGAGTCTAGGAATTTATCCATTTCCTAGAGGTTTTGATGTTCCGTGGCACAAAGCTTCTCAAAGTACTCCCTGAGGATCCTTTGAATTTCTGTAGTTTCTGTTGTAATGACCCCCTTTTCATTTCTGATTCGATTTATTAGGGTTTTCTCTCTCCCTTTCTTTGTGAGTTTTGCTAGATGCTTATTGATCTTGTTTATTTTCTCGAAGAACCAGCTCTTGATTTCATTGATCTTTCAGATTGTTTTTTTGGTTTCCATCTTGTTAATCTCTGCTCTGAGTTTTATTATTTCTTACCTCCTGTTCGGGTTGTGCTACTTTTGTTGTTCCTTCTCCAAGCTCTTAAGCTGTGAGGTTAGTTTATTTATGTGGGCTCGCTCCTCCTTTCTGAGGAATGCTTGTAGAGCTATAAGCTTCCCTCTTAAGACAGCTTTGGCTGTGTCCCATAAGTTTTGGTAACTCGTGTCCTCATTTTCATTCGTTTCTAGGAATCTTTTGATTTCCTCTTTGATTTCCTTTCTAAGCCACTCATTGTTTAATAGTGCACTGTTTAATTTCCAGGTGTTTGATTTAGTTTTCTGTTTTTGTGTGTGATTTACTTCTAATTTCAGCGCATTGTGGTCTGAGAAGATTGTTGATACAATCTCTATCTTCTTAATTTTATGGAGGTATGTTTTGTGGCTCAGCATGTGGTCTATCTTGGAGAATGTTCCATGTACGCTTGAGAAGAATGTGTATTCAGCTTTTTGTGGATGAAGTGTCCTGTATATATCTACTAAGTCCCTTTCTTCCATTGTTTCCCTCAGATGAAGTATGTCCTTGCTAAGGTTGAGTCTGGTTGATCTATCAAGAGGTGACAAAGCAGTGTTGAAGTCTCCCACTAGTATTGTGTTGCTATTGATATCTTTTTCCAATTCTATGACTAGTTGTTTTAAGTACTTTGCTGGTCTCTCATTCGGTGCATATACATTTATTATTGTAAGTTCTTCCTGTTGTGCAGATCATTTGATCAATAAGAAATGGTCTTCAATGTCTCTTATGACCTTCTTCACTCTGAAGTCGATGTGGTCTGATATTAGGATGGCTACCCCAGCTTTTTTATGGGAGCTGTTTACCTGTAGGATTGTTTTCCAGCCTTTGAGTCTGAGTCTGTGTTTGCTTTGACTATTGAGATGTGTTTCTTGCAGGCAGCAGAATGTTGGGTTCAATTTTCTAATTCATCTTGCCATTCTATGTCTTTTAATTGGTGCGTTTAGCCCATTGACATTGAGAGAGATTATTGTTATGGGGTTTTGTCCCTTTGTTCTGTTGAAATTAGGTATATTTGAGGAGCCTGTCTTGCCTTAAAGTAGCCCATTTAGTTGTTCTTGTAACCATGGTTTTGAGTCTATGAAGTTCCTGAGCTGTTTGTCTGTGAAACTGTGTGTTGTTCCTTCTATTATGAATGAGAGTCTTGCTGGGTAAAGTATTTTTGGAGAGGCATTTATTTCATTGAGTTTTTTCACTATGTCCCACCACTGTTTTCTGGCCATGAGGGTTTCATCAGAAAAATCAGCTGTGAATTTTAAGGCTCCGTTGTAAGAGAAGAAGGCCACGCCCACTTTTGGGAGGCCACGCCTCTAGCCCGTCCCAGGCCACTCCCTCCCAGGATCCTGGAATGGAGATGGGTGGTGGACAGTCTCCCCGCTGGGCTTCAGCGGGAATCGTCGGCGTGCGGCTGGGCTCCCCCTACCCACCTGGAGTGGAGGGGCCGATGGACTGCTAGGCAGGTCCCATGCAGCTGGACGCGCGGCGGGGTCTCCCCGCTGGACTTCGGCGGGATCTGTGGCACGTGGCTGGGATCCTTTAATATTTTTTAAACACAAGAACATTTCACTTTTAAATTTCACTGTATCACTGTGATCCCATTGATTGTTTAATTACTTCAGTGGCTGCCAGTAACGTCTCTCTCTATTCCTCCCAGCCCTGAGATTTTAGCAGCCTCTTCTTTCTCGTCTTTATCCAATGATTGGAGGCTCTTTCAGGATCAGGGGACTGAGACCTGCTGTTGCTACTGTATTTGGCATATCAAATATACCATGGGGAGCTTGCCAGGCTCGGTAGCTTGCCGGGTTCTCCCAGAGGCATATATTTATGTTTTTCTCTATGATTTGTTACCAACTGTCTCAACCCCATCAGATATAGTGTAGTTATGGGTAGTAATAGTGGAAAATGGGTAGGAAGTGTCTTATAATGTGTCAAGTGGCCACTTTGAGGACATGCGGTGCGGAAAGTGGCCTGGATTGTGGTGGTGTTTGGATACTGGAGGTTGGCTGCTGGGGCTGGGTCCCTTGGGGTGGGGAGGGCTCTCTCCCGCCCTACATTGTTGCGTGGAGTCCAGTGGCATGATTCTGAGAGCCTCATTTCATACTCCCGTCTGGGAAGACCATCCTGAGTTCTAGAGGGTAGCTGATGATGTGATTATCTGGTGCTGGCAGGGTGTAACTTATGGGTGTGATCATTGGATCTCTGGAGACTGGGGGAAACAGGCGAGGATCTCTGTTCCAGGGTGCCATCTAGTCCACAGTCCAAGGTCACAAAGTTCTGCATTATCTGGGTTCCGTGGAATTTCATTCTTGCATGAGGTTTGGCCTGAGCACCTAGAAATTTCACATAGTATTAAAAACAAAAAGATTTATGTTTCTGGATTCTGGCATAAAAGATTTGTTTTTCTTTTTTAGATAACTGTTTATATTATCTTTCGATAACTGTTTATATTATCTTTCAGGCTTGGAAAAGAACAGTTTCTTGCAGTTGAAGAGGATGATGACTTGAAGGAAGTGACTGACTTGAGGAAAATTGCAGCTCAGTTATTACAGCAAGAACAGAAGAACAGGTATTTTTTTCAGTAATGAATTACTTATTTATTTATTTATTTTTAATTTTTATTAGTGAAACACCATGAGGTACAGTTGTAGACTTACAAATTTTCGTGCTTGGATTTCAATTATATAATGATCAAATACCCATGCCTCCACCAGTGCCCGTTTTCCACCACCACGGGTCCCAGTATCCCTCCCACCGCCTCATCCCCTCCATCCCACCCTTCCTCTGTGTCAGGGCATTCCCTTTTGTTCTCTCTCTCCTTTTGGGTGTTGTGGTTTGCAAAAGAGGCATTGAGTGACAATCATGTTTGGTCTGTAGTCTACTTTCAGCATCAGTCATGAATTTTAAAAAGAAAAATATTATAATCATTAAACCTGATTATTAGATTATCAAATAACATATAGGAAATATTCAGTAAAGAGTAGGATCGTTCTATTTTTAAAATTTTGTGGTTATGCCTGGCATTGCTCAGGGCTTTCTTCTGGCTCTGCACTCAGTGATAACTCCTGGCATGGCTGAGGGAACATGTAGGATACTGAAGATCAAATCTAGGTAAGCTGTGTGCAAAGCAAGCACCCTACCCACTGTACTTAAATACTCATGGTACCCATAATCCTTGAGCACAGAGCCAGGGTAAGCCCTGAGCACAGCTGATTGTGTTCCAAAAAAGCAAGTAAACAGAATACCCCCAAATTTAAAGCTTATGAATATACGATCCTTATAGATTATTAATATGTATTGATATCTCGCCCTCACGGCAGAGCCTGGCAAGCTCCCCGTGACATATTCGATATGCCAAACACAGTAACAACAAATCTCACGATGGAGACACTACTGGGTCCGCTTGAACAAATCGATGAACAACAGGAGGACCGTGACCGTGACTGATACTAATATTGTAAATATGTTTAATTTTTATTTGGGTGAAGCAAAATAGTTTCTATTGAAATAAATTTACTTAGAAAAATGTCAGAGGAGAGAAAGAGATGAAAACTTGTTCAAGAGAGAACACAGGCTTCTCCAGAGTGGGAGTGGGAAAATCCCTATGTTTAATTTTCAAAGGCACTAAAATATTTAAGATAATCTAGTGCTAGGAGGAACGTTTCTCCTCTACCCTTAAATGTTCTTTATATATTTCCCTTTCCAGAAAAGATTTTACTTAAGAGAAGTGAAAGGAATGAAAAGGAAAATAGGGAGGCACCTGTAATATGGGAGGGATCTCTAAGCAGGATTCATCCTTTACATACTTTTTAGAAAAAGAAACAATAAGTTTTTCATGAACTAAGAGGATAAAGACATTGTATGTTTGAGCAAGAATTTAGTGATTTTATGAAGACAATGGCCAGAGTATCACTCTTGCACTGGCTGATTGTCAAGTAATTTTAATTGAATATCATTTTGAATTTTAATTGAATATCAGTTTGAGCGTCTTGGGGCTATTTTGTTATGACCTTCAAAGTTAGTCAGAAAAAAAAGGAGTACATTTTTCTTTAACAAATTATAGTATATAGATAGTTTCAATTTGATTCTTTGCCAGTTTTATGACTGAATTTAAACTTATCTCAGAACTTATTTCAAATGGGACTGCACCAGTGGTTGAGTTTCTAGGGTCTTTCATGTATTAGACTTTTGCTGTGCCACTTGAGACACATTCTGCCTCTCATCTCAGAATTCATTATTCAGAATCTAATGTCATTCTTCATTAACTGATCTTTTTTTTAAACATCAAGTTGCTATTGCTTACACTCTAGGAAATTAGCTGTAGGAAATTTTTTAAATTTATTTTTAAAATGTTTGGATTTGAGTGAGTTTAAAATCTCAAAAATAATTGTAAACCAAAAAATAATTGTAAACCAAAGACAAATTAGTTAGTTTTTAAAAGCTCAAAAGTAATCTTATATAAAGACTTACTTCTAAGAATATACCTTCTGATTGTAGATATTCCATTTTACAATGAATTATTATTTCATGATTCTAATTTTTTGCTTATTTTTGGGTCTCATCTGATGGTGTTCAGAGCTTACTCCTGGCTTTGTGCTCAGGAATCACTCCTAGCAGGGCTCGGGGACTGTATGTTGTGCTGGGGATCGAACCTGGGTCGACCATATGCAATGCAATCTGCTGTACTGTTTTATTTTTCTGGCAATATCCCAACTTTCTTAATGAAGAATCTGAAATGCTAATGAAAATTGCAGATCAACTCATTGTTGTAACATTTTAGGTGTTAAGCTATGTAATTGTGATATTTTTGTTTTTAGCCTTATTTTACAGTAATTTATCTAGCACTGTAGCACTGTCCTCTCGTTGCTCATCAATTTGCTCCAGTGGGCCCAGTAACGTCTCCATTGTGAGACTTGTTTTTACTGTGTTTGGCATATCGAATATGACATGGGTAGCTTTCTAGACTTTGGCGTGCAGGTGAATTACTCTTGTTAGCTTGCCGGGCTCTCTGAGTGGGGCGGAGGAATCAAACCTGGCTCCGCCGGGCCGGCGGCTTGCAAGGCAAATTTATCTAGAGTAACATTTTTGTTTGTTTGTTTTTGGGGCACATCTAGAGGTGCTCAGGGACACCTTACCCTCAGGGTACTTAATCTATACACTGTCCACTGTACTAACTCTTGGGCATATAATGTCATCTTTGTATATCAAACATTACTACTTCTTATTCTTGTGTTGTCACTACATACCATTCGAAGGCAAATACTATCTTTGCTTTCAGGTAAAACATAGTGCCATGACTGTTCAAACTAGATGTAATTAAAACCTGCTGTGTTGAATTTGGTGATACTTTTATTTTACTTTTATTTTATCCTTGTTTTGTTTTTATGGGCCACACCAACTTGTGCTCAGGACTTACTCCTGACTCTGCATTCAGGGATCACTCCTGGCAGGACTCAGGAACCATATGGGGTGCTGGGGGTTGAACTCATGTTAGCATATGTAAGGCAAGTGCCGTACCTGCTACTCAAGTCTTAGGTAATGATTTTCTCAGAACAGCTTTGCAGCTTATTTATATCATACTTTTAAAAATACTTTTCATTCTTTTAGAAAGTTTACACTAATAAGTTTTTAGTATAATACTGATACATTTAGATAAAAATGTCCTAGGAAAGTAACATTGACTATATCGCACAGAAATAATCAAAAGAGTGGAAAGAAATCAAACTATCAAGTAGGTATCTCATAGCTAATAAAAATTTGGAGCCCAGACTGCTCCCTATTTCTCTAAGTAAAATTCTTAGATTAAGCTATTTTGTACTACCGTTTATTGCTAAATTTTTAAAAACTAATTTTCATTCTTCATTTCAAAATATTGGATTACTATTTCTGCTTGTCTTCAAATGAATTTAAATCAGCATGAACCACTGATCTTCTCTATAGTAAAATAGCTTTTTGACAAGTCATAACTCACTATAATTTATAAAATTTAAATAACTACATTGACTAATCATAAAAATATTTTCTGAATCCTTTAAGTTCATTCTTCAAATTTCTCCCATATCTAATCATATATGTTAGTAGTAGAGATGTGGTTACTGCTCTTATTAAGAAAAATAAACTTCGGGCTGGAGAGATAGTACAGTGAGCACTGGGCAGGACATTTGCCTCAGATACCACATATTATTGACTTGGTTTAGTACCTAGCTCCGCATATGGTATACTCCAGTGTGTAGAACCATGAATAATCCTTGAGTACAACCAGCCTGGACTAAAAACAACAACCAGAACAACAACAATAGAAAACACACAAAAAGTTGGGTTTTCCAATTGAAGAAAGGGACTTAGTAGATATATATACAGGACACTTCATCCTCAAAAAGCTGAACATATTCTTCTCAAGCATGCATGGAACATTCTCTAAGATGGACCACATGCTGAGCCACAAAACATACCTCCATAAAATTAAGAAGATAGAGATTGTATCAAAAATCGTCTCAGACCATAATGCGCTGAAATTAGAAGTAAATCACACATGAAAACAGAAAATTAAATCAAACACCTGGAAATTCAACAGTGCACTATTGGACAGCAAGTGCTTTAGAAAGGAAATCAAAGAGGAAATCAAAAGATTCCTAGAAACGAATGAAAATGAGGACACGAGTTACCAAAACTTATGGGACACAGCCAAAGCTCTGTTAAGAGGAAAGTTTATAGCTCTATAAGCATTCCTTAGGAAGGAGGAGTGAGCCCACATAAGTAACCTAACCTCACAGATTAAGAGCTTGGGGAAAGACCAACACAAGGAGCCCAACCCAAACCGGAGGAAGGAAATAATAAAACTCAGAGCAGAGATTAACGAGATGGAAACCCAAAAAACAATCTGAAAGATCAATGAAACCAAGAGCTGGTTCTTCGAGAAAATAAACAAGATCAATAAGCATCTAGCAAAACTCACAAAGAAAGGGAGAGAGAAAACCCTAATAAACCGAATCACAAATGAAAAGGGGTCATTACAACAGAAACTACAGAAATTCAAAGGATCCTCAGGGAGTACTTTGAGAAGCTTTGTGCCACGGAACATGAAAACCTCTAGGAAATGGATAAATTCCTAGACTCCTACAGACTCCCAAGGCTGAACAAAGAAGACCTGAACACCTGAACAGAACTATTACCATCAATGAAATTGAAATGGTAATAAAAAGTCTCCCCAAGCACAAAAGTCCCGGCCCAGATGGATTCACTAGTGAATTCTTCGAAATCTTTAAAGAGGACTTACTCCCAATTCTCTTTGAGCTTTGCCACGAAATTGAAATATCAAAAACACTTCCAAACAGTTTCTACAAAGCCAATATCACCCTGATACAAAAGCAGACAGAGGTACCACAAAGAGAGAGAATTACAGGCTGATATCCCTGATGAACAACAGACACAAAGATCCTCAACAAATTATTAGCAAAGAAAATCCAAAGACTCATCAAAAATGATCATATACCATGACCAAGTAGGATTCATCCCAGGATACAAGGATGGTTTAACATTCAGAAATCGATCAAAATTATCCATCATATC